TCTTGTCCAAGGGGTAGCCATAGCTGAATCTCTTGTTAACACTGATCAAGAGGTAATTAAGCTTAATATCTTGCTATGGGGATTATAGCAACAAAAAATCATAGTAACATTTAACTTTAAAAGGGGGGAAGAACAGAAAAAGGAAGTTGCTAGATGGAAATTGAAAAAAGGAGATACAAGGGTAAATCATGCCTGCAAACAGAACGGAAACACCATAACAAAAGCTCAGGCTAAATGTGTACCCCAAATTGACACTAGGAGAATCAGAAGAATGGCTTGGCTAAATCACAGAGTACTGAAGGCCATTACAAGCAAAAAATTGTCCTTGAAAATTTGAAGTCCACTACCAATGAGGAAAATAGTAAATGAGTACAAAATCTGTGAAGTAATATGTAACATTGAAATAAAGAAGGCCAAGAAAGAATTTGAGAAGCAGCTTGCTAAAGGTGCAAAAACTAACAGTAAATCTTTTAAGTTCAGAACTTAATTTAAGTACTTCAGAAGCAAGAAGCCTACCAAACAGACAGTGGAATCACTAAAAGGCAAAGCTGTTAAAGGAGCATTCAGGAAAGGTGATGTCGTTGCAGAGAACCTAAATTAGTTCTTTACATTGGTGTTCAGTGAGTTGATGTGGACTATTTACATCAGAGCTATTCTTTTGGGGGGACAAATACGAAGCTACTGTGACAAATTGATTTGTCAAAAGATGGGGTTTTGAAACAAATTGATAAATCATACAGTGATAAGTCATAATGGCCAGACGGTATCCCCCTCCAATATTCTGAAATAATTCAAATTTGGAATTGAAGGATTATTCCCTGAAGTATGTAACCTAACACTAGATTCAGCCTCTGCAGCAGATGACTGGAGGATACCAAATGTAAGACCAATTAGAGGCCAAACTTCAGTACCAGGCATATTGGCTGAAACTACGATAAAGAACAAAATAGTCAGATACGCAGATGAACACAATTTCTTGTGGAAGAGTCAACATGACATTAGTAAATGTAATGTGTACAATTTGAAGTGTAAAGTTGCTCCTCTCACAAAGAAGCACAGTGACATGTACCATATACACTAAAATATTGCTTGACTTGGTGCTCTTTGGGGAGCGAGCTCTGTTCTTACAGTTCCACGTATTATTTAATTTGAGGCCCTGATATCATATTTGAAGAAATTAAGAATGGGACTTAAAGCACATCTGCCACGTCAACCTTCCTTCCAATAGAATATAGCAGGGACAGTATAGTAGCCATCATCTGTGGAATGCTCTGTATCGATTTACAAATACATAAAAATACCCTAAAACTACTCTCACTGCCTCTGGATGATAGCATTGCTATATCTTCCCCATTGACACGGAAGATTTGTAGTCACTGCATCTGCTTTGTCCTTTTCCTGTTTCATGTGTGAATATTAAATCTTACTCCTTGGATTGCCAACCCTCCAGGATTGGCTTGTAGCTTCCAGGAATTAAAGATTAATCTTTAATTAAAGATTGTCATGGGATATCTCCAGCTATACATCCATCCAAAATTGGCAATCCTTTCTACTCCTGATACAACAAAAGTTACCCTCACTGCTATCACCATAATGTATGTCTTATGCCACTGATTACATGTTCACTCAGGGCTTAAATTCTCATAGTGTGTTCCCTATGTAGCTTCCAGGAATTAAAGATTAATCTTTAATTAAAGATTGTCATGGGATATCTCCAGCTATACATCCATCCAAAATTGGCAATCCTTTCTACTCCTGATACAACAAAAGTTACCCTCACTGCTATCACCATAATGTATGTCTTATGCCACTGATTACATGTTCACTCAGGGCTTAAATTCTCATAGTGTGTTCCCTAGAGCATAGAGCTCTGGCTGAATTTAAGCTGTGTGTCCAGTGAAAGGGAAAGGCACACAATGTGCTTACTATAATCTTCAGTAGGTTATGGCAAAAACTGACGGTAAGGAAATTGGCATGAAAAAGCTCCCCCTTATTCTAAAAAAAAAAAAACCCTTTTCATTCTCCTTTCAATGAAAAAAGCAGTCCACATTGCAACTGATTGATTTTGCCAAAGTAAACCTGAAAGTACAAATAATAAAAGTAGCAGCTGTTGTTAGGATAGGAAAACAAAGCCACTTTAAAAATGTGTGCATATTTGGTTTTCATTGTGCTTGTAAAATTAGCAAACTTTGGCTTTGGAAGACCAAGTTGGAGATGTTAGTTTGAGTCAAGGATTCCTCACTAAGAATGCCCCATCCCCACTCAGCTTGAGTTCCTTTGTTGATCACAATTAAGTAACAAAGAACAGGGTCAGATGATGTTACTGAGCTCCCAGACCTAAGAACATCCAACACCAATGCCTTGAATTCTGCCCAGAAAATGATGGACAACAATACAAGAGCAATGGTGGAAAGCAGTTTCTGTGCGCACCCTACACAGCAGGTTGGTGTTTTTTTGTTTCTTAGTGGTCTTGAAGCAAGTTTTCACATACAGTTGATTACAATATTCCAATCTTCTGGTGATAAAGGTTTGCATCCAAAGAATTGTAATACTCTCTTGCCAAGCACAGATTTGAAAAGGCTCTCTTGGCAACAACAGCCGCCTGAGCATGCAAGAACAGGTCTTAAATGTGACATTGCAAATGTGTTACAAACGATCAGTGCGTTCTCTGAGTCTGGGAGGCAGATATATTCCTCTCTAATCACAGCACAATTGTTGGGCAAGTAGATAAGTGTTAGTATTTTCCTTTACACAGTTGGGGAAAACAAAGTATAACATTCAAGGCCAAGAAATTAATGAAGGAATGTAAGAGACCCTTGACACAAGATCATCCTTAGACCTCTAGTCCACTCTAACCGTCACATAAGTTGTTCTGCCAAATATACAGAAAAATAGGCAGCTGACTATAAGCCTGGAGAAAGCTTGTGATTGCGGTAGCAAAATCAGTTACCACTGTGTGACACTGCATTATCCTCCTCCTCATCATCATCGCCACACTCTCAGGATTTAGTGGTGGTCTCTGTTCCCCTCCCACCAGCTCCTCCTTCCCCCCAGAATAATTGAGGAGTAGTTGTGGGTTTCATAAACAAAAAAGGGGCTGTCCAGATCAGCTGTGTACATACTTGAATAATCAGTGTCAAACTCTCAGTACTCAGGTTACATTTTCAAGACTATTTGAGCATCAAGAGTGCCCTTAAAAGCCATTTTTTTTGTGTGTGTATGTGAGAAAAGGTCAGTCAGGTTTCTGTATGTGTTTTCTTTAATTCGAGTTTCCAAATGCTGTCTGTTGAAAAGCTGTTGGCAAAGAATGATGGTGGAACTATAATTCTCCTGTAGCATTAACTGACGATGAAGGAAATTGTTTATCTTGCGTGGGATTTTTTTTAATTGTTGATATTCATCAGGTTTTAGTTTCACTGAACAAATTGGTAACTTAATTTTTTTAAAATGGGAAATTAATGTGTAGATCTGATTAAAATGCTGCATTTTTAACACCTTAGTTTAGTTTTTGCTGCTTGGTTCTTTTACACACATGACTCATTTTCTGGTCAGTGAAAAGTAAGAGTCGATACAATCCCCTGAGAAATAAGTCCCTTGTGAAGTGTTTTCTCCTTGAAGCAGAGCAAAGTATCACACAAAAATTGTGTGTCTACACAATTACAACACAATAGTTTTTTCAAAAGATCTTCTGCTGTACAAAAAGAAGACTAGCATGTCATAGCTTGTGGAAAACATACTGTATCATTGGCAAGAGGGGCTATTATTCAGTAATTGCTTTAATTCCTCAAAGTCTGTTTTCTGAAATCTGTATTATTAAAAGTTGCTGTAAGCCTCCCAAAGGAATTTATGCAGCATCATGGGATACCGAGCATGTAGCTGAGTCAGTCAACCCAGGTACAGTAAAACTCCATTAGTCCGGCATCCAATGCTCCGGGACTCCTGATGGTCCGGCACCATCAGGAACCCGGAAGTGCTGGGGCAGCCGGACAGGCTTCCCCCATTCAGCTGATGCTGAAACTGACCAGCAGCTGAATCGGGGAAGCCAGGAGCAGAGCAGCTGGGGTGCTGCCGGGTTGGTCTCCTAGCGCTGCCCCTCCGCGCTGCAGGACCAAGCCGGCAGGACCCCAGCTGCCCTGCCCCCGGGGGCCCCAAGT